CCAGAGTCTCTAGCTAGCACCCTAACCCCGAGCCCCTCCTTCCCCGTCACTTCATTCTTTCATGTCATTTACAGACTTTCATTCAAAATACTACCAAAGACACAAACCAGATCTGGCTTGGACTCACTGTTACATCCCCCGCGAGGAAATGGACTTGGGTGGATGGCTCCCTGTTCAATCAAACACTGTGAGTGGTTTTTATCCCATGAGTCCATGTAAGATGTGCAGCAGGGGGCACAGGATTGTTGCTTTCCAGCATTGGTGAGAGCAGAGGCTACATATGGGCGCAAGGGATATTCAGTGCTGGGCACAGTCCTCTGCACAGAGAGAAATGAATCTAGTCCTGAGCCTCATTTGATGGCTCCCGCAGAAGTCGGGCTAATCCTAAGGGCTGGGTTTTGTAATATGGACAAGTGTTTTCAGAAATAGATCAAGGCCAACCAGCTCCTATGAAAGGGTCATGTACTAGGAAGTGTTTTATCAATTAGGGGTCTGTAGGAACAGTGCCGCAGTTAAGGAAGAAATTTGAGAGGTGTCCGAATGAGGAAAAGCTGCTAAAAATCTTGTTCAAAAATTCTAAACAGGGATTTATTTATTTTGTTTCCCAGGTTCAAGTTAGTGGATCCTGCTGAAGGGCAATGCGGGGTGATAAAAGCAGGTGGGATTCAGTGTGAAACCTGCACTACAGTCTCTAAATGGATTTGTGAAAAAGACGCTCTCCTCATTAGCCAGTGACATTAATCGCCTGTATTTTCTAAGTATGAACTATAAATGTTCTTTAGTTTGTCACATGAATGATGAATATTGAAGGTGAGCTTCAAAAGGAAAAATTAGGCTCATACTCCGCCCGACGCACCTTTTCTAGGGTGGATAAAGACGGCCTGAAAAGCTTTTCTTGCATTTGAAATTCAGGTCCTGGCTAGGCTGGGAGATTAAGGTGAAGGGAGAACTAGTGAAATGACATCACAAGTAGAGCTCGGAGACATTTTTCCACTCAATAGTTTATTTGCTGAAAAATGCATTTTGGAAGGAACAAGGCTATTCACAAACTTGTGTTGAATTCACTGAATAGTTTCAGCCAAAATAAAATAAAATAATAATAATACTAAAAAAATCCAGGCTAGGTTCACAAGAGGACTGGAGGAGGAGACAGCTGTTAACCCCACCCAGTAGCCAAGTGGTTACCGCACCAGGTTCGAATTCCTGCTCTGGGACAGTGCTAATAGATTAGCCACCTCTAGATGTACAAGGTTATGCTATTTTAAGACTGTTTACTGTCAGCAATGGAATCCATTCCCAGGAAAGAGTTCAACATACCTTATAAACAGATATGAGTAAGGCAAATATATTGCAGAGCAAGATTACACAGTTCAGACACCTTCAAGAACCTAAAGAGCTGCAGCGAAGGCATAGAACTCAAGCAGCAACAATCTGTCCTCTTAAATTTGGCATAATTAGCATTTGTTTAATTAGCAGCCTGGACATTCTAGCACTGCACATTTTTGCAGAGCAATTTCTTTATAAAAGACATGTAGGAAAATATTTTACATTAAAAAGTGCCTCAAAGAAATCTATCCCTGAAGTGCAGCCTGCGGATGTGAAAATTGGCAGTCAGTGAACGGGGGCAGCACAAAAGTTTGGGAAGGGAGGGGAAAGAGGCGTCTCCTGGAGCAGGGGGCAAGCGTGTCAAGCTGGTTCTAGGCCCCTGCCACATTTTCACAAGGAGGCTCCCAGGCACAAATTCAGAGGCTGGGTTTGCATGAAGACCCCCACAGTCTGTATCTCACAGGGCAGCACAGCTGCATTGCTGGCTGTAAACATCAAAGGTGTACAGAGCTTGGAAGTGGCAACACCACATGGAACCCGACAACCAAGGCCAAAGCCATCCTATGGCACCCAAGGGGCTGCAGGGAGGGCTGTCTGCAGTAAGGTTACCCTAATTTGTCACAGTTTGTGGACACAGTAAGGAGCCATGAGAACCCTGTCCCAGTCTGAAGGGTGCAAACCCCAAGAGGGCAAGAAATCATTAAAGGCACCAGGGAACAACTGGAGCTAATGGGATAAATTGAGCAAGGGGGACATTTTCAGAGTGCTACTGAGGAGATGATTCCCAGCAACAAGGGAGTCTGAGAATCTGGGATATTGCAATCTCCTGCCCTGCAATCTGTTTGGGGACCATTGTGTTAAAATGTATGAATGGCATCTCTCTGCTTGTGGTCTACTCCATGTGGGAGGGTGACCACAGCTCCTCGGGAACTACACACAGTACAGGTTGATTAAGGTGAGTCACTAAACAACACCAGAGAGGTACCACCCTGTGACAGCATGTACTCCCGTATCCACACTCTACACCCTATTGTAATAATCTTTACAGAAAATACACCTTCTAAGGCATCATTTGAAAACTAATAACTTGCTGGTCAATAATATCATGGTGAGATGGACATAGCAACATTATATGTAAAGTTATAAATTCCCCCAAATGATGTTGGCACACATTCAAATGCAGAGAACCCCAATTAAGCAGGTATGAAACAAAGGTGTGTTTTCCCCTCAGTTTGCATATAAGTTGTAAGACAGCCAGAGGAAGAAGACAGGAGACAAGGAAAATCTGCATTTCAGGAAACTGAGGTGAGAAGAAACAGCACAGAACTTTTCACCACCAGACATGTCGCCTTCTTTACTGTGAATGAACTTTGCTTTGAGGGGTGACCTTCAGGAAACTGCATCTCGAATGGGGACCGGACTATAAAAGTGAGGGGTAAAAACACCCCACATTCCCTCTTCCTCTTCGCTTGATTACAAAAGAAAAAGCCATTGGACTTTGGGAGCAGATCCTGGCCTGAGAGTTTGGTCAGCAATGTTACTGAGAACCTGTGGTGAGGGACGTCACCTTTAGCAAAGTCTAGTTTGTTAAGTTTAGAAACCATTTTATCTTTATTGTTCACTCAACCATTCCTGACTTTTATCAGCTGTGTGATACAGGAGGGCCGGGGAGCAGTGGTAGAGGGGAAGTATATAAGTCCTAGACTAATTAAGGTGTGGTTCCCTGAAGACTAGGGAGGGTTGCTACAGGTTAATTGGAGCACCTGTAGTCAATTAAGGCCCTGTTAGCAACCTAATAAAACCCCCTGCTTCAGGCAGTCAGGGGAGAAGGAGAGAGGACTGGAGCTTGGCGGTGTGCTGTGAGACTTGGAAGATCAGAAAAACGGAGTACGGGAGACCCTGCCCCAGCAGGGGAGGGAGACTCCCTCCCCCAGCGTTTAAGGACTGAAGGTACCCCACCCAAGGGGGAAGAGGGTAAGAACCCAAAGGGGTTGAGAGGGGCTGGGACTCAGAGTGAGGAGCAAACCCAGACCCCTCCCCTGCTTCCCTCCTTTACCACCTTCCCAGGCTACTAGTGGGCCCCTTGGTGCCCCAAGAGCAGGGGCAAGGGGTAGCAGCTTAGCCCCCCCACCAAGAAAAGCGCAGGACCCACTATACTACATTGGCCATCCTGTCACAGCTGAGAAAGGGCCGTGTGGTGGCTTGTAACTGCTGGAACATGCTGAGCATTGTGCTCAGAGCAGAAGCAAGGTGCAGGTGCTGGCTTTTAGACAGAGTGGCTGGCTGGGGATACCCGACATATAGAAGGGAGCTGTGCAGCTTTAAGTGGCCCAGTCAGGGAGTGGGATGGGGTCTCTGCCCAGAGATGGGGTGGCTGGAGTCCTGACCTAGTGGAGGTAGCTAGAGATGCAGTTACCCTGAAACTGTGACAGGCTCCCTGAGAGAAGGGTCACAGGCCCTGGCATTAGGGTAACTGACAACTAGCACTGGAGAAAATCCTGGAGGCAGACTAAGAAAGAAGCGTGACGCTCTGTACCTCGGGGGAACACCCTACACCCCATAAAATGATGGTGTGGTATCCAATGCAAAGTTTGTCATGTTGGGTGTCTTCGGCAGGCTCATAATGCACTGAGCATGGTTATAGTGATGTTATAGTAAGGGTATAAGTTATAATTTCATGTATATAGTTATGAGGCTGAAAATGTATCCTCATGGCTTAAAGCAAGTCCAGGCAAAAACTCTCCAAGAACAGAGAGGCAGGTCACACCTGGTCCGGGCATGGATGGGACAAGCCCAGCCCAGCCTCACAGGAACAAAGGACACTGGCTCAGGCAGCAACAAAAGAATCTGTTAGACCCTTGAGTGAGTCACCCCCCTTCCTTTGGGCAGTTTGGGACTGCAGTGAGGTAATGCTCACCTGACTCTGAGGGGGGCGCAAAGCCAAGAGGGAAGAAAAGACCTGATAAAAGGGAGAGACATTTTGCCATGCTCTTCCACCTCCATCTACATACACCACCACCATCAAGCAACTAAAACGCTGATCAAAGGGGAGAGCCTGACTGAAAAGTAATCAGACAGCCTGTGGTGAAAAGTATCTAAGGTTTAAGGACATTGAAAGTGTAAAGAGCAGCTTAGAATGCGTTTCGCTTTTATTTCATTTGACCAAATCTGACTTGTTATGCTTTGACTTCTAATCACTTAAAATCTATCTTTAAAGCTAATAAATGTTTGTTCGACCTGAAGCAGTGTGTTTGGTTTGAAGTGTGTCAGGGGCTCCCCTTGGGATAACAAGCCTGGTACATATCCATTTCTTAGTTAAGTTGACGAACTCATAAGTTTGCAGCGTCCAGCGGGTATAACTGGACACTGCAAGACGGAGGTTCCTAGGGTTGTGTCTGGGACCGGAGATATTGGCTAGTGTCATTCGCTTGCAAGTAGCTTGGTACAGCTTACATGCCAGAGGCTGTGCATGAACAGCCCAGGAGTGGGGGTTCTCACAGCAGAGCCAGGTAAGGCTCCCTCCCAGAGTCAAGGATTGCAGTGGCCTAGCATATCACTGGTCCAGACAACACAAGAGGGGAAACATCACAACAAGTAAATAGGCTGCAGCATATAAGGCCATGGAGGGGACCAGAACCAGGCTTTGCCATGTCTGATCTCCGATCCCCTTGAGTTCACGAGTCCCCTCCCACTACACGCTCCTCTTCCTTCATAGGGGTATCAGATTTACTGCAGATCCATTTTCTTGATGCGCTGCAGCTGGAGCTGATGACTGAGAGTTCTTCATCCAGGTACGCACAGTCGGCTTCGCCTTGTATTTCAAACCTGTAACCCAGAGACAGGGGGAGCTAGAGTCAGTGCGTGCCAGGTACAGACTGGGGGAGACACCCCAGGTCAGGGAGGGGAGCTGCTGCACTCACAGCCCCTCTGGAGCCTACCTTCCTGCACCAGGCCCCACTCCCGGCAGGCGAGGAAGTTAAAGCAGCTAGTGGGACATTTCCATCACCTCTGACCCAACACAAAGGAAAAAAGAGACTCACCGATTGTCAAACTTGGTCCCGTTGGCCCATTTCCAGACCTGGCCCGTGTCCTTCCGGAGGCCGATCCAGTGGTCCAGTTTGCCTTTGTAGGGCAGCAGGGAACCCTTAGAAACCCAATAGACGCAATCAGCTGTGTTAGCCCCTGACTCTGCTGCTCTCCACCTTGGGCAGTGGGGGATTTCTAGAGGCCTCTTCCATTGTTATTGGGTGAAGGGATCAGATGAGTATTAACCCTTCACCCTCCCCCCTCCTCTTTCTTGGGGCTGTGGCACCTACTGGGTGTAGCAGAAATTGAGCTGCAAGGTCACTGTCCGCCCAGCAGCCCCTTCTCAGAGCACAGCAGGGCGAGGAGGGAGAGGGAGCTGCAGGGGCAGGGAAGCTGAGGGAAGCAGGCACAGAGCCGGCCTCACCTTAAGCGGGATTCCCCCACCTCACCCATGAGGAACCCTGGGGCAGGGCTGAGCTGGGGGGGGGGGGGGGCAGGTTCTCACCCCCTCCAGCCCCAGGCAGCCCATTGGCCTGGAGCTGACTGAGCTGGCCCAGCCCTGCACAGGGGGAGTCTCCACCTGGGCTCTGGCAGATGCAGGGTCGAGGTGGCTGGAGCCCCAGGTCCAGCCAGGATTCAGCTGCCAGAACCGCACTGACTCTGGCCACCCAGCCTGGGAGGCACCCGGGCTCCCCTCGGGCCTACAGGGGCTGAGCCCAGCCTGATTCCAGCCCTGTCTGTGATCGCTGGGCTTGGCACAAAGCATCTATCCGGGCTTCTCACCAGCTCCTGCAGACTCTCAATCACAGCCAGGGAGGCAGCGTGCGAAGAGCAGAAGCTCTGGCTGTAGGTCCAATTCCCTTCAGCCTTAGAAAAATAGTAGTATTTCCCTTGGTTCCTGAACCAGCCGTCTGGGCACCAGCAGGCAGCAGCGGGGCAAGGATGAGGCTGCTTAGATTTTTCCACTAAAAAAGAGAACACCCAGGGTGAGAGATCGTCCCTTCTCTCGTTGCTCTGTGGAGAACAAGCAGGAACTGCCAGACTGGATCAGACTAATGGGACACACGACTGATCTCTGAGAGCTGCCAGCATCAGCTGCGTGAGCGGGAGGGCAATGCACCCCCTAGTGGGCAGTGGTGGGATAGCTGGCCCCAGGGAACATTTTCCCCCAAATGCTGTCAGAGGCTGGCTAGGCCCCAAAGCAGGAAGATTTATATTCCTAGTCATATCCTGATTCAGAGAGAGAATAGCCTGCCCGGAAGGGTCAGGAGGACACTTCTGTCTGTCAGTGGCTGGCTCCTGGCTTGAAGCAGGAGGCTTTGTGCCCCTTCTACACTGAACCCTCTCCAGTACGACTCTGCATGGTCTCATTTCCCACATCAAGGGCCAGGCCTTTGATGAATCCAGCTGAGCTCTGGGCCTCAATAACATCCTGTGGCAGTGAGTTACCCTGGGCATGAGACTGCTAGTTACGTATTTAATGCAACAGGAGTCACAGAAAGAAGTTTAAGAAGGGTGCGGTAATTCTATTAATTCCACAGAATGGCCACACCAAGCCCTGTTCATCTTTACCTGGACCCCCAGCTCCCCCACACACACACCCAGACCCCCACCCCTATCCCCAGACTGACCCACACGGAATCCTTTCACCCCAAACCTGGATCCCCCACATTAGGCCGCTCCACACTTGAATCTTGTCAGGCTGAGCCTTCTGTCCCCACCTGGTGCACCTGACACAGAGGGGCAGGGCCCCAGGGTGATTCTGGGGCAGGTCAGCCAGGGTTGGGTGCAGCCCCACCATTCAGTCCATATCCTGGGAGTTAGGGGGCTGCAGGGATCTCCCACCTCCATGCAGCCAGGGGCCTGGGCTCTCCACAGTCAGGCTGGAACCTCCACATTTATTGATAAATAACCTTTGCAAAATTTTAAAATATTGTGCGCAGAATTTTTAATTTGTTGGCACAGCATTCCCTCAGGAGCACAAGCAGGAGGGAGAGGGTCACACAAAACCACTTTTAAGCCCCTCCCTGAAATGTAACCCCTTTGCTGCAAAGAAAGTTACCTACAAGTAATCACTGGAAATGTTTAAAGTTCCTGAGTTGCAGCCACAGAAGGCGTGAGCACATCTATGGAGCTGGGCAGCTGAGTCCAGGAGGCAGCGCAGGGTGAATACTGAGCGGGTCATTTCAGTTACTGATTTTGTGGGAGCAGGTACATTAGGCAGAGGCACAAGCAGAGAGGCTGCCAGACCTGCTGGGCTCTGCCAATGCCGCCTTGAAGACAAGGGGCACTCAGATCCATTCAGTTCTGACAGCCCCTCTGAGCGGGTTTCCCTCCTCACCCATCTCGTGTATCAAAGCATCAGATCCCCTGGAATCTGCAGCCTGACCCCAGAGCTCACTACACTGGAGTGGGACGTGGGAGCGGTGAGCGCCCCTTCTAATACCCCGGCAAGCAGCACTTGGATCCTCCTGCACCCCACTGATCCCCTGCAGTGACGTGTGGGGCTGCACGTTACAGAAAGGCTCACACTGAAGGGAACTCTTCTGTAATTGCACACACTGTCCCTGGGGAGCCTTCCCTTTGGAGATTACTGACCCACGGGTTAAATTCTCAACTGCAGGGGTGGGGGCTTCCCCCCACAGCAATACAGCTCATCCCAGGGATGCTGTAGCCCGTCAGTCCTGCTGTGAGACAACCAGGGGGAGGGAGGCAGGATGGCCAGGCTGGTAACCTCAGATCACCGAGCTGCAGACAAGTTACCCTGCTCAGTGAAACTCAGACAGGGGATCTCTGTCAGTCCATCAATCCAAACGCGTGTGAAGGGAGAGTCCCTGGGTACAAAAGGGAGCAACAGAGGGGGCTGGAAGCCAGAAAAGAGCGATTGTCTCGTGTTCACTGCCCTGGATGACAGGGACTCAGGAAATCCAATTCCCAGCTGTGCCAGACTCCCTGGCTGACCCAGGGTGAGTCACTTCAGCCCGGATCCACAAAGGGATTTCGGCGTTTGATATCCAGCCTTGCAACGCCGAACTTTTATTAGCCTAGGAAATCACTGGAACAACAACGGGATCTACAAGGCCTGAGCTGGGTGCCCGGGCGCCCCACGCAATGAACGGGGAGGGAGGGGCACCTAAGAACAGTATTCACAAGAGCTAGGATGCTAGATAGGGGCTGCCCAAGCCAGCCAGTAGAACACACTGACCAGGGCTGTGCCCCACACCTCGCCCCTCTCAGAGCTCAGCACCTCAGCCCTGGCTGCAGGGAGGGGCCCAGCCCTGCTAACAACCTGCAGCGGGGACCCCCCACCCTGGAGTCAGGCACCTATGTCACTTCTCGTGAGAGCGAGTGCAGCAGCAGGCGTCTAGAACCCCTGAAACTGGCTGAGGACAGAGGGTGGGGAGAGAAGACGATCTCCCTGATAACCTTTAACTGGCAGGGCTCTCGCTCCTGATGTGGGAGACCCTGCTTCTGTCCCCCTCTCCCTGAGGAGCAGAGATTGGAGAACAGGAAGTTCCCACCTCTCAGGTGGGCGCCCTAAGCACTAGATTATAGACGGATTCTAACTCTCTGGCACAATTAATATTTAAGTATTCAATCAAAGTGGAACAACTTCAACAGGAAATCCACCTCTACCTCGATAGAACGCTGTCCTCGGGAGCCAAAAAATCTTACCATGTTATAGGTGAAACCGCATTATATCGAACTTGCTTTGATCCGCCAGAGTGCGCAGCCCCTACCGTTGCTTTACCGCATTATATCCAAATTCGTGTTATATCAGGTAGCGTTATACGGGGTAGAGGTGTATTGAGAACACACACCCTTTCCACCCCCATCAGACTGTCCCACAGCTCAGAGGCTGGGCACTCCCCTGAGAGGTGGGAGACCCCTGTTCAGATCCTGTCTCCCCTCAGACAGAGGGGACTGGAACTAGGGGGTCTCACACCCCAGGAAAGGGCCCTACCACTGGGGCAGGGTTAAGGGTGGTGGGTTTTCTTTGCCCCCACCTGTTTCACAGAGGCCGGCAGCCTAAGCACACCTGCTAGACCCCACACCATGGGTACGACAGGCCTCTGGGTGCCGAGGGCCAAGCAGCAGCACACACCCAGAGGCAGACCATGAAGCTCTGAGGGAACTTCCACAGCAAAAGCATCATCTCCAGGTGAGCTCAGGCGCCCCCAGGGTTCAGTGGCAGCCGGGCAGGGGGTTGGCAGATCACGGGGTGCCTGAAACGGGGACTTCGGCGCCTTAGTGCCCTTTGTGGAACCAGCCTCGGTGCCCTGGCTCCCCCGCCACAGAGTGGGGATAAGGACACATCCCTGCCTCACAGGGGCTGGGAGGATAAATCCGTTCATGTCAGTGATGGACACCATAAAAGAACCTAGAGAGAATCCTGTCTGACCTGACTGCTAAAGCCATGAGGCCAGAAGGAGAACACACAGAGCTGTGAGCCACTAAGGATAAAAAACCCCACGCGCCCAGAGACTGAACCATCGGGGGTTGGGAACTTACCTCCCAAAGCTGCTGCTAAAGCAATGATGATCAAAGCCATGACCACAAACACAACTAGTCCTTTACTTGTACATTTCCTGAAGCTGGAATTAGCTGGATCACCTGGAAATAAAAAAAATCTGTTAATGTTCCTGGGGCAACTAAGACCAGAATTATTTTCCATCAGGCTCTGATCGGACACACACCAGATTTTTATTTTGATTTCTAAAATGGTTCTGTCCCTGCTCTGGACACAAATATTAACTCGAACTCCCATCCAGACTGCAAAGGAGAACATCACTCCCCAAATCACCACTCTGTGGTTAATTAGCCCAGTTAATCCCCAGAAAGGACCCTACAGAATTCAGAGGGATTCGGAGAAGGGTGGAGGATGATCAAGGGCCTGGAGAAACTATGACAAGAGATTGACAAGCCTGGGATGGTTTGCCATGGAGAGGAGGTGAATGAGAGGGACCAGGATAAACAGTCTATGCCATACGGCTAGGACAGAAGGCAGACTGGGAGCTTTTGGTGATAAAGCTGTGGGCAGTCCCTGCACGCCCCCTTGTGGCCTGGTGTGGCACTGTGGGTGCATCCCACAATTTCCCTTGATTGGCAGCAGTAGGTTTGCTTTAACAGCCCAGGGCAAAAAGATGCCAACACGAATGAAGAAAATAGCACCTCCTTTTCAATAAGGCTTCAGGACAGGATCAGTTTCAACAAACAGTTCATACAGTAAAAATAACAGGAGTACTTGTGGCACCTTAGAGACTAACAAATTTATTAGAGCATAAGCTTTCGTGGGCTACAACCCACTTCTTCGGATGCATATAGAGTGAAACATGTATAGAGGAGATATATATACACACATACAGAGAGCATGAACAGGTGGGAGTTGTCTTTCCAACTCTGAGAGGCCAATTAAGTAAGAGAAAAAAACAAAAAAAAAAAAAAAAAAACTTTTGAAGTGGTAATCAAGATAGCCCAGTACAGACAGTTTGATAAGAAGCAAGTGTGAGAATACTTACAAGGGGAGATAGATTCAATGTTTGTAATGGCTCAGCCATTCCCAATCCCTATTTAACCCTGA